GGAAGCAAGTTAAATACATGGCATGAAGTGTCTCTAAGCCAATAATATCTCCTTGACTAGACTTCAAACTACATCAGGCCCCAGCCCTTCTCCTGCTAGGTCTCGGTGTTCACCTGAGCAGGAGGAATCTGTCTGTCGGCTGCAGCCGGGGTGTAGGGGAGAGTTTGGGTTAAGGAGGAGGGAGCGGCAGCTGCTGGATTAGTGCCATAAAGCCAACCGGTTGCTCTTCCTTTGAGTGGAGATCTTGTCTGGGTCTGCATCCACGTAGCCAGCAGGTCCTCGGGGAGATGCAAGCTCAGAGCTGTGCTTGCTTGGAGAGTGCAGCAGTGCTGCAGAGGAGAAGCCGTCGTGCAGATTCAGGGCTCCTAGCACAGAGATCTCCAGACGCTGCTGTCTCCTGGCCATTGCCATGGGGGGTGCAGGGCAGGAATCAGCTGCTCTTTTTGTGGAAGGGTCTTTCCAGCCTTGAGGACCAGGTGGGGGTTAGGAGCAGCCTCACCTGCACAGTCAGTTGTGGGGATGTCTTGGGTAGCACCTGGACCCCTTGTCTCATTGCATCCCCCCGCCTCCTGCGCAGAATGCGGCTCAGGGGGGTCTGGCTCCGGGGACGACGGTGAGTGCGAGCAGGACCGGTGCCGGCGGTTTGGAGGCCTGTGGGATGAGGACATGGAGGACGACCGCTGCGTGTGCGACTTCACCTGCTTGGCTGTGCCACGCAGCCCGGTAACCACCCCGGCTTTGGGCAAGGGGGTGGGATGGGGGCTCCCAGCACTTCTAGCCTTGGTCGTGAGGAGGTACAAGGGGGAGGCAGAAGGAGGTGGAAGCCTTGATGGGTGGGGAGTTCTCCCCAGCTCCTCCAGACTGTTTGAATGTCCCATTGGGGTCTTTCCAACCCTGCTGGCTTGTCCAGCCTTCCTGCGTCCCTCTCCTCTTCTTGGGACTGAACTTGGGAGGAGCCCATGGATACTGATGGAGGCACGACCAACCCATTGGCAGGGCAGTGCCTGGTACAAAGAGAAGCCCTCAGCCCCCGCTGCAGAGGGGAGAACAGGACTGAGGCCCATGCCCTGCTCTGTTCAGGCTCCTGCTTTCCCTTTTCACCCAGGGCCCCACCACGTCCTTCATGCCAAGTGCAGAATCCCAGCTCCCCTGCCCGGTGCCAGCCTTGGGATGGATCCACCTTAGGGCAGGGGAGTAGCAGCAGGGAGGGCAGACAGCAAGCTCCGTCCTCCTGCTCTGCCCTTGCTCAGCCCTGGTCCTCCTCCATGCAGGTGTGCGGCTCTGACGGAGTGACCTACGCCAACGAGTGTGAGCTCAAGAAGTCACGCTGTGAGAAACGCCAGGACCTCTACGCCGCCGGGCAAGGAGCCTGCCGCAGTGAGTCTTTGCTGTACAAGGACCCCCTTAGCCAGCCCCTTCCTTGCCTTGTGTCCGTCCCGGGGCACCCAGGGGCTGTCATGCTGAACATGCCCATGTGGGTGGGCAGACTGGTGCTGACTTGCTGCACTGAACTGGGGGCTGGGCATTTCAGGGCCTGCTAGCCTGGCTGCATGCTGCTTCTGTGCCCCTCACCCCTGCAGTGATGGCCAGAGCCCTCCACTTGGCTTCCTGGCATTTGTTATCTTGTCCTGATGTACCCGGTCACTGATGCCATTCCCCACCGTAACCTGCCTCTCCCTGTTTGCCCAGCCGCCACGACGACCCCCCCGCCACTGCTGGTCCTGCACTGCAGCCAGACCGTGTACGGATGCTGCCCTGACAACATGACCCTGGCCCTTGGCGTGGGCTCAGCCGGGTGCCCGAGTGAGTGAAACCCTTCCTTTCCCTGGGAGCAATTTGGAAATCCCCCATAGCAGGCTGAGGGACCCTTTGCAGTGAAACCAGGGGCAGGGACCACATGGAGATGAAACCAGGTCCTGGGGATGGGGGGGAATCTCCTCCAGAGATGCCCTGCTCCTGAGCTGAGATCTTTCAGGGTCCCCAGGAGCAAGGCATGTTTCACCCCTTAGCATCACCCTGGGCCGGCGGCTGTGGCTGCACCCCTTCTCTGGCCTCCCTCGCAGCAATGCTCTACCTCCCCTGAGGGAGACGTCCCGGTGGGCCACCGCGCAGTGGAATCAGGCGCCTCTTCACCTTGCGTCCCGCCCATGCCCTTGTGTCGGCGGCAGGAGCATAAATCAAGATGCAATTATCCGGCGCAGCTGAATTCAGCACTTTGGCGCATATTTATTCCCTGCTCCGGAGATTGTTTATTCCCTTGTCTCTGGTACCATCAGGGCAGGGGGAGGACAGCTCCTGGGCTGCTCCTGTTCCTCAGCCCCTGCTCGCTCCAGGTGTTCAGGCAACCAGCTCCTCGGGCATCTTTGCTTCTCATCCCCAGGCACACCGGGGTGTCACTGTCTGTCTTTATTCTTTGCCCTCCATAGCATTCCCAATAAATAATTCCTAATGGATCTTCCCCAGGGTAGAGAGACCGAGACAAACAAAGGGAGTACAAGAGACCCTGAGGTTTTGACTCTTTCCATCATTAGGAAGGAAATCTTAAGGGGAAGGGTATAGCTGAAGTGGGTGGGAGGCACTCCAGTGCATTGCTCGGTGTCCTGGTACCAGGTTTGCAACAGTGGTCCCATCCCAGCTTTCATAGACATTTGGGCTGAAAGGGACGCTGGAGGATCATCAAGTCCAGCCCCCTGCCCCATGGGCAGGAAGTCAGCCAGGATCATAGGATCCCAGCAAGCTTAGCAGGTCTAGTTGCACATACGGCGCCGTGCAGCTCCATCTGGGGTCCGGCACAGATTGGGACATCCGTCCACCTCTGCTTGGGGATTCTGGCTCCTCGAGACTGAGGGGTGGGGGTCTCTCTGTCACTCCGGCAGGCACCTGCCAGTGTAATGCCTACGGCTCCTACGGGGGGGCCTGCGACCCCACCACCGGCCAGTGCTCCTGCAAACCCGGCGTGGGAGGCCTCAAGTGCGACCGCTGTGAGCCCGGCTTCTGGAACTTCCGCGGCATCGTCACCGACAGCAAGAGCGGCTGCACCCGTGAGTGCCAGGGGGAAGCGCGGCACCCACTGAGCACGTGTGGTAACCCTTCCCCAGCGGCCCCCGAGCCCAAAATGCCCCACGTACCCCCAAGCTCCGTATGAAATCCCACTCCAGATGCAAATGAGCTATCATGTGTCCCCCTAGACCTCAGGGTTAGAGGTCAGGTGGGGCCCAGGTCTCTGATTTGCATCGTTCCCATTGCCATGTTGGGTAAGACTTCTCTGCGTAAAAGGAGCGTAAGGTGGCATGAGGGGCTTTCCTCAGCCATTCTGCAGCGCTCTTGGGGGCTGGAGCTCTGGTTCAGATGCCAGCGTCAGGTTGCATTCAGGCGCCCGCATGCAGCAGCCAATGCACTGTCTCCCCAAGGCCCAGTCCCCTCCCACCCCATATTCCTGCCAGGCCTGAAGCAGCAGGGGCCATTCCCCGATCTGTGCCGACATCGGCGGCGATGCCCACGTGCAAACGAGGAAGTAAACTACAAAAGCCGTGTTAATTTCAAGCTCCATTGGAGACACGGGCAAGAAAATCAATATGTGCCAAGAAGGGAGAGGGCCGCTCAAGCGGGGGGAGAGGAGTGATGTGGAAGGGACTGCAAACAACAGAGAATCTGTTTCCACCTGTCGCGTGCTCTGAGTTATGGAGCCATTTCTCAGCAGGGTGATAGATAGGTCTCCCGCTTCTACCTGGCCTAAGCTCTTCACCAGGGGGAATCAAATCCACCAGGGGGGCTCTGAGATTGCAGGCTCCAGTTCCAAATGCCACTCATGGCTCTGCAATTCAGGCTTAGGGTTGGGAGGGCAGGATGCCTGGGTTCCTCTTCTGGGCTCTGGGCATAAATGTTAGTCTGGGCAAAGGCACAGCGACACCTTGCAGCTGGGAATCAGTGCCAGGACATTTCAGACAGAACAGAAGATGCCAGATTGTCACAGGGAAAGTCATAAACCATGGCTGTGGTTTGTCCTCTACCAGCTGGAGGCTTCACTCTGAGATGGGGCATCTTATGTAGCAGCAGAGCCTCAGGGTGCAGGAACTGGTGGGTAAAACTTCTCTGGCCTGTGTCACTAAGATCAAACAAAGACCTTGTAACAGTCCCATGATGGAAAAAACCTAGGGCCCCCTTTAGCACAAGACCCCTTTAGACTTTGCTGGAAGTAAATGCAATGATCAGGTCAGTGTAAAGGGCCCTTAGGTGTAAATGGGAGTGAGGTTCTGGAGGTAATGATGGGATCCTGACCCCTAGGAACCCAGGCCAGTGCACAGTACTGAGATCCAGGACACCTGGGTTGTGTGATGCTGGCGCAAAGCATCGTTAGAGGAAGACCAATGTGAACTGTGCTCCATTCCCTCCCCCTGTCCTTGTCCCCGTTTCCTCCTCGCACAGCTTGTAACTGCGACCCGGTGGGCTCCGTCCGTGATGACTGCGAGCAGATGACTGGACTTTGCTCCTGTAAGACGGGCATCACCGGCATGAAATGCAACCAGTGCCCCAATGGCAGCAAGCTGGGCATGACCGGCTGCGAGAAAGGTGAGGCAAAGAGCCACTCGGCCCACAGTGGCTTCCCTCGAGAAGGAAATCCCAGGTCACTGGGTGATGGGGTGGCTCATGAGCTCATTGGTTCTCCTGGACTGCTCATGTATAGATAAAAGCCCTACTACTCCTGCTGCCAACAGAGATTCTGTCTTAACCTGGCAGCTTGGGTCTTGGCCTTCAGAGCAGAGTTTCCTGGATTTTATGGCCATCCACAACCTGGATGTCTGTAGGCCCATGTGCTCATGACAGTAGGCTGCTCCAGATAATTGGCCTTCCCCCTTCTGTGGAGCCGGAGCAAGTCTGCCATGTGCTTTTGGTAGCACTGGGCAAAACTTCCCTACATAGCACCTGGCAGAGGTGTGCCCACAGCCAGGGCAGGGAGGGGTGCTGCCTGTGTCATGCATATTTATAGTGCCTTAGACTTGTTTCTTTTTCTTCATCCCCCCCAAGACCCATCGGCACCAAAATCCTGCCATGAGATGAGCTGTGAGTTCGGGGCGTCATGCGTGGAGGTCAATGGCTTTGCCCACTGTGAATGCCCATCCCCACTCTGCACGGAGGCCAACATGACCAAGGTAAAGGGGGGGCCGTGGCGTGGGGCTGAGCCGCAGGCATTTGGACCCTCTGCCAGCTCCCTCAGGCCAGGCCAAGGCAGCATGAAGTCTGGTGTCTCTGCCAGCTGCAGCTGGAGCATGATGCCAGCTATCTAGGCAGCCTCCTAGACTGGCAGGGATTTCCCGGAGAGCCCCTGCTGCAGGAGAGGTTCTCCTCCCTCTAGAGAGCCACTTTCTCCTCTCCTCTCCTCAGGGAGATGCCAATTAGGACCTGCCAGCCATTACCCCTCCAATGAATATTTGGAGAGGGGTCTTTTTTCCAGAGGCCTACAACCCGGGGCCTCCCAGGTGGGCTCTACCATAGGCAGGAAGGGCTAAGAGGAGGTGCCAGGCTCTCCAGTTGCTCTCCAGTAGCCCCTGGCTCTCTCCTTCCCCTCCCAGGTGTGCGGCTCTGACGGTGTCACCTATGGTGACCAGTGCCAGCTGAAGACCATTGCGTGCCGGCAAGGACAGATCATCACGGTGAAGCACGCCGGACAGTGCCATGGTGAGTCTCTCCCTGCTCTAGCTCCCCAGGCAGGCAGTGCCAGCATTACCTCCAACTGTCCTAACTCCATCCATCCCTCCCCACTGGCCTGCAATGGCAAAGGGTGGCTCTTAGTAGCAGCAGGGCTTGAAGTGGATGCGGGAGCCCTGCATAACTGAGACCCCGTCATGGGGCCCTGTCCAATCTTCCCCTTGTAACCACCTCCTCTTGCTGCATCCCTTCCAGAGTCCATCACTCACGCAAGTCATACCTTGCCTCCCACGCCGCTGCCCATGCCCACGCAGGCCCTGGACAGACTCCTCCTCCCCCCGCCTCTGCAGCTCACCCCTCGGGCCCCCGACTCCACGGAGAAACCCACCGGGTCCCTGCTGGTGGAGGCGAGGCCCACTCCAAGAAGCCATCCTGCTACCAGACGGATAACCACTGCCCGGCCAGCCACCACTCCCTGGATCACGCACGGCCTTCGCAAGACCACTGTCCGCCCCATCTCTACTGCTCCGGTGGTCCCAGCCACCATCCAGCCTGCCTTCGCTGAGTCTGGCAGCGCAGAAGGCAGTGGAGACCAGGAGATGGGCATCAGTGGGGACCAGGAAGCTAGTGGAGCCGGCTCGGCAGGTCAGCACCTTCTGCTCAAACTCCTTTGGGTGATTAACCCTTCTGCTTCCTCCTCAATGACTGATCTGGATGACAAGCCCTAATTAGAGCTGGTGTGGCTAGAGCTAGCCCAGGGCTGCGTGCTGGACCAGTGCTCCCTCTCTCTTGCCTCAGTCCCGATGCCCACCACAACTTGTAGCTCCCCGTGCATGAGGAGGGAATGGGGTTGTGGGCCAAGCTGGAGGCAGGGCTTAAGTGATGTTGAAAGGTCCCCCATCCAGCAGCCTAGGAGTGGAAGGGTCTCCTACAGCACAGGCAGGGTCTATCTGACCATCCCCAAGGCTGCGCCCCCACGAGCCTCGACACAGATGTGGAACTGGGGTCTGGGAGGTGTTTGGAGCTTGGACTGTGGGTGGGAGACAGTCCAAGCCAGCAGCAGAGCCCACCTCTCAGCTGCCTGCACTCTCCCTAATCCCATGCAGGAGAAGAGGAGCCAGAGGAAAGCCAAGTTACACCCACTCCAGCCATTGAAAGAGCCACCTGCTTTAATACCCCTCTGGGCTGCTGCTCTGATGGCAAGACAGCCGCCATCGATGCAGAAGGGAGCAACTGTCCTGGTAAGTGGATGTCCCTTGAGCTCCCCCGGGGTGGGCATGAGATATAAAGCCACAGTCCTTTCCAGACTAGGGCACACAATGTGGAGCAAGACCCACCCAGGAGGGGAAGCTGGTGCTGAGTGCTGCTGCCCACTTCTCTGGCAATGTGTCTCGCCATGGGGCCTGCTGGCGGGAGTGTACAGCATTGGCTTTGCTGTCTTGAACATGAAAGCCCACCCGCACCCACTGCAGGATGCCAAGGGGGTCTAGCTACAGACCCCTGTGCCCAGAAGAGAGGCAGGGTGCTGTCTGTAAGGGGCTGGTTGGTTTTGGATGCATCTGAAATAGCCTGAACAGACTGATTTGTGGGGCCTGTCCCTTTGGGGCAGCAAGGTGACAGTGAGGGGAGTGGAGGGCATGACCTAGGTGTCTGTATCCAGCTCAGTGCCCTCTGATGGGAGGTGGGCAGCAGCTCATTGACTCTGCTGAGGCTGGGGTGAGGGGTCTCCACTTATGGTCCAAGCCCAGGGAGAGCACTGCTCCCACGACCTGCGTGGCATCCTCCTCACCCTCAAAGAACAAGATGCTGCCCTGCCCTGAGATGCTGCCCTGTGCCTCGCAGTGTGGCAGCTGGGTGCTCGGTGCAGCACGCAGGTCTGCACAGCCCCAACGTGTGCTCCAGTAAACGGGTTTCCCTCACCAGGCTCGTTCCACGTGACTGACTCCCCGGCGCCCACTGCAATCCCTCCCAAGACACCACGTGCCCAGGGGGCTTCCCCTTCTCCTCTCTGCAGACAGAGACTCCCCTGTCTGGTGGCAATGCCTGCAATGCCCACACACATGCCAGCAGCAGAGGGTCACTTCCTGATGCTCTCCTGGTACCCACACATCCCTGCGGTCCTCAGGGATGGTCTTGCTTTGAGCAGGTGTTGGACTAGATGTGAGCTCCTGAGGTCTCTTCCAACCCTCATTTTCTGTGATTCCTTCCAGTTACATCTCCCTTCCTCCCACTTTGGACTCTGTGGGAGGTGCCAGACCCCAAATCTCTTGGCAGGGCGCCTACTTCCCCCCACTTCAGGAGAGCACCCATCGCTGCCAGGGCCCCGGCTCCCTCGGGGATGACTCCGTGTTGCATGCATGCGTTGGATCCTACCTTGTTGACTGTGTCCTGCTCTGGCTAACGTATCTCTCTTGTTACTCAGCCGGTCCAGGGCGGCTGCTATCCGGGCCGGAGCTCAGAGGAAACCGTATGGTAAAACCTGCCATCTCCAGCCTGGTCTTTGCCATCTGACACACCTGCTCCAGCACCCTCCAATACTAATCCTCCATAGCGCTCTCCAGACCCATCCAGACTAACCCAAGGCCTGGCACTGTCCCCACACTGCCATACCCACTCCCCCACAGGGACTGAACACTTAACAACCCCCATCCAACCTGCCTGCTTAACGAATTTGTCTTGTCTCCTTTCTATTGCCTCGTCCTCCCGCAGCCACCAAGGTCTTCCAAGGAGTACTCATCCTGGAGGAGGTGGAGGGCCAGGAGCTGTTCTACACGCCCGAGATGGCCGACCCCAAATCGGAGCTCTTCGGGGAAACTGCCCGGAGCATCGAGAGTGCGGTGAGTCATCCCCTGGGGCCCGGCTTAGCTTTGGCAGGAGGGAGGAGGCAGCCTCCTTTGTCCAGAGTGCAGTGGCTGGATGGCCTTCATTGCACTGCCGTGGCATAGGTGAGGGCTTTCGGACCATGCACAACAGCACCCAAGCCTTGTTGCAAGTGGGAGCTAAGAGGATTTCAGTTCAGGTGGTAGAAACAAAGGGTTTTGGAGTCTGTCTGCTATGGACACACCCCTCTGGTCCTGCCCCTGCTGTCCACTGCCTTGGAGGTGCCAGCCCCACTACAAAAAAGCTTTGCATTTCCACCCTGCCAGCAGGTCTTGGGTGAGGCCTGGTGCTCTGGTGGCTTCCATATTGCCTTCCCCTGGAGTAACCACGGCCCATTGTAAAGGGAAGGACGGAGCTGGCAGGTGCGCAGGGAAGTGCACTGAGATTCAGCATCTGTTCTTGGCCCTGCCCTTGATTCTTTGTGCGGCTCTGGCCACGTCGTCCATCAACGTTCCTCTCTCTGAAATGGGAACGGTGAGAGCCGTGCACCTCCTGCAAAGTGCTTTGAGACCCTCAGGTGGAAGTTGACCCATGTTATAGTTAAAGATGGGTTTAAACCAGAATGCCCGGAAGTTACAGCATCTCCAAGTTCAGGGGCAGCAGGGGATGAGGTTCATGGAGCTGCATAGATACAAGCTTTGCTTTGGGCCTCTTGTCTTCCATTAGTGTATTTCCATTAATGAAAGACCCTTAGAAAATGGTTTAGAGTCCAGCCTGCCAGGCTTCTCTCCATACTTTGCCTTTGAAGCTCAGCCAGGAAGCCCACCGCCACCTAGTGAATACGTTCCCTGCTTTCATGGCATCTTACAGTCACAGCACCGCACGCTCGTGATGCCTGCTCCTTTGCGAGCTCACGGCTAGACAGCGCTGGCTTGGCAGGGGCCCCTTGCGCGTGCGAGGCAGCATGTGATGGGGTAGCAACATTGCACTGGAGCCTGCTGTGTGGCTCAGCAAAAGTAAGCGTCTTTGGGAAGGGGATCAACATGTTTAGCATGGAGAGACCGTTCCAGTCTGTACTTCCAGATTGGCAAGTGCTTGGTACAGTCATATTGGCAGATGTGCATTCAACATATGGGCCATATGGTGTGTGGTATAGGAGTGGGGTGCGGGGGGGGTGGAGAAACAAAGGAAGAAGAGAAAGAACAACAGAGTTGGAGGCATCATGCCTGCCCTCTCCTAGGACCCCAGAGCCAAGCAATTCCCAGGCCAAGCCCTGACTTAAAAGTAGATTGAGATCAAACTCAGGGACAGATCCCGGATGGTACGAGTGTCAGGACAATGGGACAAGGGGAACTGGGGCCTCCCCGTCATTGGAGGCTGTCAGGAAGAGGCTGGGTGGGCCGGCTTGGGAAGGGTTGGTTTAGGAGCAGCAAACCCCATATCCAGGCAAGGAGTTGGAGTTGAGGACTCAGGAGGTCCCTTCCAGCCCTGGTGTAACTCATGGCCACTGGCTAAGCAAACCCCTTTACTTAGCGGCATCAGTAGGTTGAAGCATAATAGAGACCTCCACCTCAGGATCTCAAAGCACCCTCATGCCCCAAAACAGGCACCGTCTCAGAAGCGGGGCTCATCAACCCATCTCATAGATGGGGAAATCGAGGTACAGAATGGCTGCCTGGCCTTGTACCTCACAGACTAAAACCCAGGGCTCCTGAGGCTGCCATCCCAGGCTCCTGCTGCCCTTTGCTAATGTGCATCCTGTTGCAGGTATTAACCAGCTCCTTTGCCACGTGGAGGTATTAGGGTCAAGCGGTGGGGCAGGGGCTGTGCTCTTTCGCCCATGCAGTGGTGGCAGCCCTCTCGGCACCACTGGGCTGGTCAGAGCGGAGGATGGTGTGGCGCTGAGAAGACATCAGGTCTGTTCTCAGGGTGGAAAGACACCTAGGCAGATCTGGAGAGATGCCAAGCCTGTTTCGGCCTCTTGGAGCATCCCGCGAGGCGTGGAACTGGTGGCTTCCTCCAGTGAAACACGGGGACGTTCCCTTTCCCCCAGCCTCGGTCTGTCTCCTCTGTTCACCAGAGATCTGTAAGCCCCGCAGGGCAGGAGCACCTCTCACCAAGCGTTTGTCCAGCGGGCCCTTGGGTAGTGAGGGATCTGCAGGCACCAGTATGTCACAGTGGCCGGGGCTGTGCATGATCAGCAAAGGCTCAGACTTGAAACGCAGCTGGAGGGGGTGGAAACATGGACTTTATTGCATCAGAACCAAGATCTGGGCCTGGATCTTGATACTAAACACTCCCTCTCCCTCCTCGCCCTGGTCCCTCTCCTTTGCCTTGCCTCTCTCCCTCCCGTCTAGCTGGACGAGCTTTTCCGCAACTCTGATGTCAAGAGGGATTTCAAGAGCATCCGCGTGAGGGACCTGGGTCAGAGCAACGCCGTCCGTGTCATCGTCGAGTCCCACTTTGATCCAGGTGACAGCAGCTCCCTCCCGCCCCTGCAGGCTCCCAGCTCTGGCTCTGCCTGCCAGAAGTGTTGCTCCAGGGCTGTGCCTCACCTGAGGAGCGAGTCTGAGCTAGAGGACATGAAAGGGCCTCATTAAATAAAAGTACTGAGGATGTGCCTTTTGTCCAGCCAAGGCAGCTGGCATGGCACGGAGAGGGCCACAGTCCAAGCGGCACAGAGCAGGCTGGAGATCTATTGTGGGGCTGGGGGTGAAACGGCTTTTGATGCGGCTGCTTCTGCGGGGCTTGTATCAGAGGGAAGGATGCTGGAGAGCCGTGGCAGCCTCACGCTTTTTCCTATCCCTCTTCCGAGCAGCCACGTCCTACACAGCGGCCGACGTCCAGAAGGCCCTTCTGAAGCAGATCAAAGCCTCCAAGAAGAAGACCCTCCTGGTGAAGAAGCCGCAGCAGGATCATGTCAAATTCATGGACTTCGGTGAGCTCCCCTGGCCATGCTTCATGGGCCTGCCTCGCTCTCTGGCCTCTGCCTGGCTTGGACTTCTAAAGACAAGCAAGGCTCCTTCTGGCCTGGCCTGTTCCCTTTCATCCCCAGCAGGAGCTCATCAGACACCCCTTACAGCACATTATCTTTCATAGCTGGGGACTGGCACATGTTTCATCCTGAAGGACAGAGCTCTTGGGTTTGGGACTCTAATGGAGTGTGAAACAGATCTCGGGGACACAAGAGGCTGCACCGCTTTGCTCCTAGGACTTCTGCTCTCCCCAGCCTCCAGGCTTGCATTCAGTACCTTCCAATAAAAAGTGCCCCTAGGCCCCAGTTAACTGCCAGCAATTCCAGGCCAGGCCCTTAGGTGTTGTGGATTGATCATAGAATCAAGGGCTGGAAGGGACCTCAGGAGGTCACATCTAGTCCTACCGCCTGCTCAAAGCAGGACCAGCCCCAACTACATCATCCCAGCCAAGGCTTTGTCTAGCCTGGTCTTAAAAACCTCCAAGGATGGAGAGTCCATGACCTCTCTGGGTAACCTGTTCCAGTACTTCACCATCCTAGTAAGGTGATTACTAATATCCAACCTAAACTTATCTAGTTTGCAAACTTATGTAGTATATAAACTTATAATATTAAGAGATTCCTAATATCCAACCTAAACTTCCCTTGCTGCAGCTTGAGCCCATTGCTCCTTGTTCTGTCATCTGCCACCACTGAGAACAGTCCAGCTGCATCCTCTTTGTAATCACCCTGCAGGTAGTTGAAGGCTGCTATTAAATCCCCCCTCAGTCTTCTCTTCTCCAGACTAAATAAACCCAGTTCCCTCAACCCCTCCTCAGAAGTCATGTTCCCCAGGCCCCAAACCATTTTCCTAGCCCTCCACTGGGACTGTTGCAGCTCCCTTGACTGCAGGCCTCATTGACACCCACTGAGGATCTGAACAGAGCGTCCCATATAATAATTGCCTGCCAATCCCCTGGGGCAAAGGATGTCAGCCTCCTCCAGCCACCTGCCTCCTGCACTTCGCAGGTAGCAGGTGTGATGTGAGGTTGCTACCCAGGGGCTGAGCTGTAGCACTGAAGTGCCTGCCTCATCTTAAGATGTGCCCCACGGCAGCTGCCTCCCTGCCACTGCAGGGCAAGGGAAGACAGTTGATCCACCCCCAGGGCTTGGTGCTGATGAACAGGAACAATTGATTTCCTATGGCTGTGCCAGGGAGGAGGGGTGTAAGGAAGCACGAATGCAGTAGACAGCCTGGGGATGGCTGTGTAGGTAGCCTTACAAGCTGCAAGCTCCCCAGCTAGACCAGACGGCAGCTGGAGCCTCCTGAACCCTTGTGAAGGGCTCTCAGCTGTTTGTTAGCGGTGCAGGGAGAGAGGCAGCGGTGAGGGGTTGAGACCCAGGGGTGGGCCTTCTCCCGCTTGCACGGCTGGAGAACAGGCTTCAGTCACCATCAGCAGCATCCTTGTGTAGGATCCTCCTTGCCTGAGAGAGCCAAGATGAATGGATTCACCCTTGTGAAAGGAGCTCAAGGGTCGGCCCTTGAGCATTGACCCCATGTTACAGGTGGGGAAACTGAAGTGCAGGCAGGTAGATGGTTGACTCAAAGATCACACAGGGGATCGTCATCAGAGCTAGGGAGAGAACCCAGTGCCCTATTGTTCCTAGGAGGCACCCCCACCCCAGAGCCAGGAGTTGAACCCTGCAGTCCTGGCTCCTAGGTACCTTTCTTCATCACCGGGAATCAGACCCGGGTGTCCCACCTCCCTCAGCAGTGCATTGGGTTTCTGGGCTCCTCTTGAGTGTGCCCCATGCTGTGTTCCAGACTGGATCCCCAGGCTCTTCACCACCACAACCACTACGACCACTGCCACCACCATGGCGCCCGCCACCACGCGGAGGTTCACCACCGCCACAACCGCCCACGTCCTGCACCCAGAAACCATGGGGAAGCCCAGCAGCAAGATGGCAGCACCTGTCACCACCAGGAGACCCACTGCCACCGTGCCAGCCACCACCCGGAGGAAACCCACGCGCCAGCCCCCAGCCACCAAGAAGCCGGCCCGGCCCTGTGACTCCCATCCCTGCCTGCATGGCGGCACTTGCGAGGACGATGGGAAAGAGCTCACCTGCAGCTGGGCTTCCACTGTCCGGGTGGGGGGCCATGAATGCCTATGTTGCGTATCTGAGGTCCTGAGCACCATCACCCCTTCTAAGCTAGCCTGGAGACAGTGGGGCTCAGCCCCTCTGGAAACCCAGCCCCATAATGCCCAGTAAGCAACAGCAGGCTGAGACACTCCAACCTTGCAGCTTGTGCGCACCATTGTACGTGCGCTAGGCAGGAATTGCACACTCATTTTTTCTACCTGATGATCCCAGATTTGAAACAGTGGTCCCACTTCCCGACAAGCCTCTTCCTTCAGTGCTTCATCCACCCCCCAGAGCACTGCAGGTAGGAGGCCATCAGAAAGGCAATGCTGGAATAGCCCAGTGGCCACATAACCCAGTGCCTTGCAGACCCCCTTTCCATCATAATGCACCTCATTAGAAATGCATCAGCACTGGAGAAGGAGAGAGCTGGCAGCAGTCCCTTCCTGACCCCACTGGGGATGCAGCATAGCCCTGAAGCGGGAGGCTTGAGAGCCTCTGGCATCTCACCCTGGGCTGGTCTCAGTCGCTGAGGACGGTCTGAGCGACAGCTGACAACAGCGCTCCCATAGCACAGCACGGCATGAGTGCTTTGCACAGTCAGGATCAATGCTTCTTAATAGACAGCTGTGTATTGGCCACCAAAGCTGCTCATATTGGCTGGCAGCTCACAGTGGCAGGTTGGCATCACGTTTCGAGGCTGGGTGGTTAGAAAGGGCTGTTTCCCGGGAAGCCAAGCCCCCTCTCTGCAGCATTCAAAGCTGCCTGCTGCACAAGGATGTCTGGTGCTGTTAATTCTCATAGGGGTTTGCTGTCCGGGTCCCTTTGAAAATCTCAGCTGCTGTAAATGGGTACAGGGAGTGATGACTGCAGACCTATTGCTCGGGACCCTGGAAGCAGAGATACGACTATCTAAGAGGCAGGAGCAAGTGATTTATGAGGAATGGCACAGTGAAATGTGGATGTGACAGGGAGGCAGGATGGCAATTGGCACTGATGCATATGAGTCCAGCAGGAAGGAGTGGGGTGAGAGCAAAGAGGAGGAGACTGGAGCCAAGTATCAGAGGGGAACTGGTGAGAACAAGAGCTCTAGGGCCGTGGATGATCTTCGTGGCTTGAGGCATTGGTCATGAGGCCGGTGGCATGTGCTGCTGGGGGTCAATCCTATTGTGGCTTGGGGAGAACAGAGTGGGTTAGCTAGCTCTGTTCCTCCAGCCATGAGTTCAGACACCTCCCATGCCGGGAGCCCTCTGCCCACAGAGGCGCAGGAAGGGTGGACTTGTTCTCAGACTCCCACCAGGGCTTCTCTCTGTCCCTTCCCCACCTCACCTCTTCCTCCTCTCTGTCTGCACTTGCAGCCATCAGATACTTCATCCCCAGCTTCGGCGGAAAGTCCTACCTGGCCTTCAAGACGATGAAGGCCTATCACACGGTGCGCATCGCCATGGAGTTTCGGGCCTCCGAGCTCAGCGGGCTGCTGCTCTACAATGGGCAGAACCGGGGCAAGGACTTCATCTCCCTGGCACTTGTCAGTGGCTTTGTGGAGCTCAGGTGGGTGCCCCAGCTTTGACTGGGGTCCTCCCCTATTCATATTAAAGGCTACTCAGTGAGAAAGAGGAAGGCCGTGGGTTGCTCAGAAAACCAGGGGACGGGGAGGTAATCATTTTCTCGGGAATTTCCTCTTTCTTCAGCAATGCAAATGAAAAGGTTTGATTTTCAAGAAGCACAAAACAGGGGCAGGTGGTACCGCTCACCTTTCCCTGCCCCTTTCTTTTATTGGGAAAGGGATGGAAAGCAGAGGAAGAAGTGAAACATATTTGAAAATGACCTGGTTTTCCAACTTGCCCTCCCAAGATTTGAAAGGAAATAAATGAAGGTCCCAGATTCTGGACAGTGAGAAGCCCTATGTAATCAGTCCCCATTTGTCCTTAAAAGATGCTCTGTGGCATGTCGAGATGCCATCACTGAAGTGCAGCCACTGCTGAGATGAGATGAGCCGCATCCAACAAGGAGTCCATCCCAAACATCACTTGAGGCTCTCAATCCCGGTGTCCGAGCTGTGGCACCCTCAATTCACTGTCCCCTCTCCTCTATTTCAGGTTCAACACAGGATCTGGTACCGGCGTCATCACCAGCAAAGTGCCTGTCGAGCCTGGCAAGTGGCACCAGCTGGTGGTGAACCGGAACCGCCGTAATGGCATGCTGTCGGTGGATGGGGAGTCGCACGTGAACGGGGAGAGCCCCACCGGCACCGATGGGCTGAACCTGGACACAGAATTGTTCATCGGAGGGGCACCGGAAGACCAGATGCTTGTGTGAGTAGCAGATGAATTTGACTCCCACCATGGGACTGCTACATCCCTTGAGAGGGAAGGTGGGTGCGAGTCTCCTAGGTCCCTAGATCATACTAGTGTGACTCGGGGCAGCTCAGGGGGACCTCATCACTCAAGGACGGTCACTAAGGGAAGAGGAGATGATTCTGGCCTGAAATCTCTGTGGCAATTAGCCAGAGCAACCCCCTGGCCCACATAGCTCTCCGTGGCCTGGACAGGCTGTCTCTCCTGAGCCCCTCATGTCTGCTGTCCCCTCAGGGTGGCAGACCGCACCGCAGCCACGGCGGGCCTGAAGGGCTGCATCCGTCTGCTGGATGTGAACAACCAGATGTACGACCTGCGGGAGAAGGGCAGCGACGTGATGTACGGCAGCGGGGTGGGCGAGTGCGGCAATGACCCCTGCCACCCCAACCCCTGCCACCACGGCGGCATCTGCCACGTCAAGGAGGCCGAGATGTTCCACTGCGAGTGTCTCTCCACCTACACAGGTGAGGGGACAGGGCTTGGGCAGCACCAAGAGGGCTTAGCTAGTGAGTCCTGCTCATCTCTAATTAATCCAAAAGCCTGTGGGATCACATGAGGCAGCACTGAAATGCAGCTCCCTCCGTGGCGGCTGAACAGGAGTGCACGGCAGCGGCTCAGGATGGGAGGCACTGGCTCATGCTGTGTCCTGTTCAAACAGCAAGGGAGGAATTCGAGAAGACAGCATCAGTCACCAGAGCTAGAAGGAGACCAGGACCCCAGGGTTAATCTCTGTCTGCTCAAATATGCCCATAAATCACCAAGACATCTTGGACGTTAGTGTCAGGTGGAACTTCCCAGCTCCACGGCACCATGCTGGCCTCAAGTCCTATTCACTGTCCATGAGATAAGTGAGAAGGAAGAAGTCTGGGCAGCTCCATGGGTTTCCGCTGCTGAAAGGGGGCACGTTTCCCCACCCCAGCATATGCAGGAACCCAGAGCCCCCAGCCCAGCCCCGAGGTCCCTGCCCCAGGTGAGCTGATATCCTGGTTGTTTCCCACTCAGGTCCAACCTGTGCCGACGAGAGGAACCCCTGTGACCCCAGCCCGTGCCACGTCTCAGCCACCTGCCTGGTGCTGCCAGAGGGAGGTGCCATGTGCGCATGCCCCATGGGGCGGGAAGGGGATTTCTGCGAGTTCGGTGAGTGGTGCTGGGGGTACACGGGCACAAGATTCCCTGTGTGGAAGGGGTACTCGCCCCCTGGCCAAGGGGCTGGCAGCACAGACTGACATGGCTCTGTCTCTTCTTCCTCTCTCCATCTCCACCTCTCTGGTTTCTGGACTCAGTCACAGAGCAGGACCAGACCATGCCCTTCCTCCCGGAGTTCAACGGCTTCTCCTATCTGGAGCTCAGCGGGCTGCAGACCTTTGTGCCCGATATGCAGTAAGTGCAAAAAAGCAGCTTCAGACACCATGGGGAGGGAGAGTAAGAGGCAGGAAATGCTCAGGGTGGCTGGGATATACCAGAGACAGGACCAAGGACTGTCCCTGAGGGCTGGCACTTGTGCCTGCTCCTCCTCTTTCATAGAGGAGCCTGAGCCCAGGCACACATTCTCACCCTGGGCACAGGGATGCTGTGTCCATGCAGGTACCCACTGAACTGCAGGCAGGGTAAGTGGGCCGTGTCTGTCAGCAGAGGCCAGGTGTGGGCCATGGAGCCCTGCCCTGAGGGGGACTGAAGCATGGAGGTGCAGTGGTGGGGAGGCAGCTTGTCAGGCGATCCCCACTGCGTAGCTAAACAGAGGACTCTGCTCTCCAGCACCGCTAGACGGGCACTTGGCTGCAACACCAGCAGCTCCTCAAAGTGCAGATATCCCAGTGAGAGGGAGCAGACAGGCAAAGACTGCATCAGGGACGCCAACTTTGCATGGCCATAGCAATGGGGCAGCCGGCTTGGAGAGAGGCACTGACTCCCCTGCTTTCTCTCAGGGAAAAGTTGTCCATGGAGGTCGTGTTCCTGGCCAAGAGCCCCAGTGGCATGATCTTCTACAACGGGCAGAAGACGGACGGCAAAGGGGACTTTGTCTCGCTGGCCTTGCATGACGGCTACCTGGAGTACAGATACGACCTGGGCAAAGGGGCAGCGGTGCTCAGGTAAGTGCCGCATGGTGATACGGTCCCCTGAGATAACTTAGAGGCTTTGAAGCAGACTCCATCTGGGGCACCACTCCCCACCTCCCCTTCCTGTCTCCCACCCTTGCCTTGTCTGTGCAGGCTTTCATGTCCATGGGGCAGACCAGCCTCCTACAAAGGGCCTATCCTGGCTCCCAACAGCATGGGGACTGGCCATGGTGTGCTGTTGGTGTGACCTGTAGACCACCAGCAGGACCACCTGTGCCTCCTGCTGTTCATTCAGGCCCCCTGCGGCATTCACTCCCCGCTTTCTCTGGGGCATGCATTTGCTCTCAGGGCATGCACACACAGCCGTGGCAAAGCGTGGGCCCCAGCTATGTTTTCCCCACTTCTTTCCACCCTAGGAGCAAGGAGCCAATCCCCCTGAACACATGGGTCAGTGTCTTCCTGGAGAGGAACGAGCGCAAGGGAGTGATGAGGATTAACCACGGCGAGAGGGTGATGGGAGAGTCACCGGTGAGTTGGTGCGTCATGGAGAGGCCAGCACCAGGGCCGGAAGGACATGGCACCTGCCTGCTCTCTAACACAGATTGGCCATGGCTATTTGTCACGGGCTGCACTGACTCTGGCAAGGAGCAAGGGGCTGGCAACCAGGGCAGGCCTGGGATCTCTTCAACTTATGCAAGCATGACGCTCTCACACAAGAGGAGCTTGTGGGCATGATTTAGTGGGCATTTGTTGCCTTCCCAGAGCTGGGCCTGCTTCATGCCCTGTGCCCAGGAACAAAGTGTGGGGGGTATGTGGTCCCTGATGGGGTCCCTGACCTGAAGCAGATCTGAGGTGTCTTGGCAGAGATGTGGTGCACCAACGTGGCCTGTGCCCAGCACTAGCCCTGGTGCTCTCAGCCCCTCCCTGAGCTGCCTGGTAAAAGCAGGGCCTCGTTCTATTCTGCGCTGAGATTACATGCTCTTTTCCTGTCCCCACCTGCACTACTGCCCACATCCGGCATCCCCTTGGCAGGAGAGACGGTCACTTGCTCTGACAGATCCCTGACTCCAGGGTGACAGCGGTGGGGAATGTCCAGCCAAGCATCCCCTTCCTGCTTTCTCTGTGCAGCTGCAGTACAGAGCTCTGTGGCAGGCTGTGAAGCAGAAGGAAGCCTCTGCCTGTCATGCCACTGGGGTCTGGTGCGAGTCACAACCCAACCCTGGTGCCCTGGGGCCTCTTCTGAGGCTTGCTGGAGGAAGAGCCAGACAGCACTTTGCAGAAGGCTTCTGCAATAATTGAGCAGCTCAGACCTGTTGCCACGATCACACAGGTGCTGCTTAGAAATCTGTCAGCTCTCTCTGCTCTGCTTGCAGACTGGCAGCTTGTTTGTCTGGTTTCTCTCCCCACCTTCCCCTCACCCCTTTTCCTGTCTCCTCTCGGATATACAGAGTCCCACATGGGCTCAGGTCACACCCCAACACCCTCATCCACCCAGCGGGGGCCCAGGTCTCCCTGCCCTTCCCATTTCTCCCCCACCGTGGGCCCACACTTCTCCAACATCCCCTCTCTCACATCACAGGGCACCAGCCCTGGGAGGAGATCAAGCCCAAGGGTGGGTGGGCATATCGCCCGCAAAGCAGGATTCCAGATGATGGGAGCACCTCTGTGTGTTGTGTGGATGTCCTGCACCCACAGCAGGGAGATTGGATGCCTGTCCCAAGCTCTGGGCAAAGGATATGACCCTTCCTGCAGGAGACATCCAGGCCGCTTGGCTTGGGTGTCTCTCCCTATCTAAATTTGGTGGGTTTCAGTGGGAATTCAGTGGTGGGGAAATCAGTTCACCTGTGCTGACAGCCTAGTTTAGTGTAGCGGTGCACGGCTGTCATTCAAGCCATGCCCTCTCCACCCACATGCCCCCTGCTGCAGTGCTGCCCCATGCAGCTCGCCCTTGGCCGCCTCCTCATGCAGGATGCCGTACAGTGCATGGGAAGACATGCACTGCACGGCGTGTCTTCTGTGCCTGCAGGAAGACACGAGTCCTCGGAGCCCTTTGATTCAGCAGCTGCCGCTCTCTGCGGCAGAACAGCGAAGGCAGGGGGCTGAGGGCCTGTGATTTTCCATAAAAGCTTCTATCCCTGCTTTTCAAGCTTCCTCCAGTGTTAAAATTGCCCTTTCTCAAACAGCGGCTTGCCCGACAGGGCCAGCACTGGCACAGCCCCCCTGCTGCTCCATTCTGCACCCTTCCTCTCTTAATTGCCTGCTAACGAGGGGACATATTTTTAGGCAATGCACTTACAGCCCTGCATGTTATGATGTTACCCACTGATCTCCTATTTCTCTCTCTCTCTTTTTCTCTCTCTCTTCTTTTCCCTTTGATTTTTCACTTGTATTTTTCCCTTCCCCGCTGTCTGGATTTCAGAAATCCCGTAAGGTAAAGATAAGTATAACCTGCCGCACCTCCATCTCATCTGCCATCTGCACGTTGCTCTCCATTCCTCCATCCAAAGCCAAGCCATCCGTGCTCATTTCCACCTTCCCACCCTTTTCCATCTGAGCGATCCACCTTCTGGAGCTCGGTAGACTAGAGGCGCGTGTTTCTTTTCCTTCATTAATTTCAGAGAGCCACGTTTTACACTGAGGCATTTCAGTAATCCTGCCATTCTTCTCGTGTTAACTCCACACAGCATTAGCTAGCGATTAGTGTAACTACGTCTATGCCCGGCTGCTCTGCCTCCGAGTCGGCCATCCAAGTACCTTAGCAGGGTACCGTGTTGAAGGGGCGTGGGGGAGAGGTTCGACCATTGCTCGGGGAATCCCAGGTGCCGCGGTCAAAGATTTACCGGGGACTTGCTGGTGGCTTCTGCACTGCAGGGCTGGGTGGTGACAGCAAGGTGAGGGCCCAGATCTCTCTGCCTCCAATTGACAAACCCCTTCTTCCTGAACTAAAGGAGAATCTCCCTTAATTTATTTCCGTACGGGGTCTATGAAACACACTCAGTTCCAATTTGGGGCAGTCTAGGGCAACAGCCACGTGTAAAAAGGAGCCAGATTGCATTTATTTGGAGTCTTGTGCTTTGGTGAGGGTGTCAGCCTGGCACCTTCCCCAAAAAATCCCTGCTCTGGTTTCCTACTGACATGTGGGAACTTCACGGTCCGGGTCAGGGCGGGCGCAGCTCCTTGAAGAGACCCCTTGTCCCCACACCCTTTCACGCTGCAGCCCATAATCTGATCCAGTGCCAGCACATATGACAGCTCTTTAGGCCTCTGATGTCAACCCCAAGCTCAGCTCCCCAGCTTGAGTGATCATCATGCAGCATCCCTGAGGCCTGAGTAGCCCTGATGGCCCAGAGGGAGATTTCTAGCCCTGGACGGACGTGATGAGGAGTGATGGAGCCCGAACGGGTGCTGGGATTCTTGACACACGCCTGGTTTGCTCCGTGGCCCGACTGGCAGCCCTGAAAGCAGTTCTGCTGCCCCTGGAGAAGGGCACGAGGTGTCTTGAGGGAACATAGGGGGTGGTTTCTAGTCTCAGCTCAGCCACTGTGGGACCCTGGGCAAGCCGCAATCCCCCAGTGCCTGGGGATCCCATATGTGCAAGTGCAGAGGACGGTTCTCCCATGGTGGGAGACTGAATCTGTTCCTGAAGCCTGTGGCCGCGAGAAGCCGTCCTGACCTGGAGGAAGGTGAGATCGGTGGAGGGGAGCCATGCTAGTAGCTGTAGCACTTCAATGTGGCCAGTAGAGGGTGAGAGCAGTGCATGGGAGAGGTGGAAACCCTAGGGAGAAGGGACACCCCCTTCCTGGAGCACCTCCTGTTTGGGCATCTGCCCTCGGGATTTGGTCCCTGCCTTCAAGGGAGCGCAGAGACCGCTGGCATCCATTGGGGCAGGCAGGGAGGTGATGTCTCACTCCTTCTCTCCATTGTGAAGGCCCCCCCAGACTACACAGTGCAGCTGTCGTGAGCAGAGTCCCCCCTGGTGGCACCCAGCCTGGACAGACCGCGGGGCTGGGCTTGGGGCTGTGCCCCCATCTCCTCTGCGTCCCAGCTCCGGGCTCCTCTCTCACGCGCCCGCCTCTCCCTCCCCAGGTGCCTCACGCCTTCCTGAACCTGAAGGAGCCCCTGTATGTTGGGGGCGCGCCCGATTTCAGCAAACTGGCTCGCGCCGCGGCCATCTCCACCAGCTTCGATGGCGCCTTGCAGAGGGTAAGGCCACGAGTTTGAGGCCACGAGAGGTTCACCTCTCTGGGGGCCACGTACCGCCGTCACGTGGACCCTGTCCATGCCCACCTGGAAGCGATATGTCCCCCTCACACTTTTCTCCCTCCGTGTCTCCCCTGCCCCCTTCAGATCTCCATTAAGGGGATCCCTGTCCTGAAGGAGGAGAACATCCGCAGCGCCATCGAGATCTCCACCTTCCACTCCCACCCCTGCACCCAGAAGCCCAACCCCTGCCGGAACGGGGGCATGTGCAATCCCCGGCTGGAGAGCTACGAGTGCGCCTGCCAGAGGGGCTTCTCCGGTGCCCACTGCGAGGAAGGTGAGGCCAGGACGGCTGCGGGGGGATGAGCATGGGGGTGGCATTGCAGTGCTCCCTGGTGGCAATGGCTTGGCCATTGCTGCACCACGCAGCTTAGCAGACAGTCCACCATTTCTCCAGGGTCCTCTCTCCCAGCTGCCACCGAGCCCCTCCCCAAACCCTCTTGGCTTCTAAATACATCTAACATCTCCAAGCCAAACCATGGCAGAGCCTCTGCCTCAGGTCACTTACTTCTGCCTTGAAGCCAAGGGGGTTTCAAAGAATTGGGTTGTAAAGATGTCACCTGGTCATAAAGATGTCCCTTGAGAGGCATCTGAGGTGCAGCAAATCATGCTGGGGACACGCCTGGGATTCATATTGGTAACAGACCCTAAGAGCAGGTAGTTTGGACACGTGCTTGCAAGCCACTGGGAGCCTTTCACGTGGCACTGATTCACTGCTGACCTATGGGATTAACCTCACTGCATGTTCATTCTCCTCCTCGCCCTAAGTGATCATCGAGAAGGCAGCCGGGGACTCCGAGGCCGTTGCCTTTGATGGCAGGACCTACATGGAATACCACAACGCCGTGACAAAGAGGTAACTCAGCTGCTGAGCTGAACTGAACCAGGAGGATAAGCCAGGGGCCAGGTGTTAGCGGGTGGGACACCTGTAGGGCAAAGGAAAGTTGCATTGCAGCTGGACGGCAGAGCTGGAGTTTCACCCCTTTCCTTCTCCACCTCGGGTTCTTCCAGAATACCTGGCTGATTAAACCCCAGGTGTGTGGACTCCTATACTAGAGTATGAGTGCCTTGTTTTCCAAGCGAGCTTAGTCTGATTTGGAAGTGGGTTAAACTAGACTAGGCAAAATGCACTGTTCTTCTGTAATTGGTGCATCCACACTTGGCATTACTCTGCATTAGGTATTCTGCTTTCCGTTCATGGCCCACTTTATTGCAGCAGAGCTTCTAGGCATAGAAAAGCCCTTTGACGTGTGAGAGAAGAACATCTCACCAGTTTGTCTGCTCAGCCCAGCTGGCAGCTGCTGTCCAGACATCTGATGCCCACATGCCGCCTAAGCTGGGAGCAATCTGCTCTCTCAAGCTGGTGCCCTGACCAGAGTCATCCTGACTCACTGTAGGTCATTGCCTGGTGGCAGCAATGGCAGTATTTGCATTGTGGTGTGGCAACCATGTGTTGCTGCATCCAGGATTATTTAGGGTGGAAGGCCAGAGGGGCGGAGAAGAGAGCATGAGTTTCCTGCCGTGTTGAGGATGAGTTTGCCCAGGCCTAAGATGGAAGAGCTAAGGAGTGTGGGAGGCAGGCATTTCAGGACCTGCTGTATAAACTCCCCTTCCCCAAGGGACCTCAGGAGCACTGCCACACTCTTCTCCCAGGTGCCCACTCCTGGCCTCTCTGGGCTCACCTGTTTCTGTCTGTCTTGGTCTCTAGTCATTGTCTGTCTCCCCCCACCTCCGTCCGTCTCCCTCCCAGGTAAGGCAGGACTCAGGTGCAGAGTTTGGATCCAGACCAGAACCACCCCCAGGGTCCTGGGGTTTGGGGCCGCGAGTTAAGACTCAGTCCAAGGTCTGCTGTGCCAGCGCCCCTAAGCCAAACCTGACCTTGCATTGGCAGGCCCTGTGCTCCTGCTTCCATCCATGTAGGAGTCTGAATTGGCTGCCCCGGGCTGCTGGGTAGGGAGTGCATTCCCATTTCGGAAACATGCACTGGCCAAATTCGCATCTCAGTCCCGGCCTCGGACGCTGAGCCCAGCAAAGAGGTAGGGGCGAGGTGAAGGCACCATCTGGTCCGATGGCTCGCTGCAACACAAGAGGACAGGATTTGCCCTCATCCAGGGGGGATCCCTGGAGGGGGTGCTGGGGCAGAATGGACCCCAGTGATCTCAGAGCGATGGCTGAAGGAGATAGGCTGGGCCTCAGTCCCTTCCCGTCTCTCCTCTAGCATGTCCTGGCCCCCTGCACCCCAGCCATCTCAATACAGTCCTCCAGCAACAGGACCCACCCATGGCAGAGCTCCCTGGCCGCAGGGGGGAAATCTTTCCTGATTCCAGCACAGCCTTCAGGGCTTGCTCTCCTAGGCTCAGTGAAGGCTAGTACAGAGTGTGCTTCAGGCCACGCATTGGCGTGCCCTTGCTCCTGCCACTTTCCCACCCCTTAGCAGCCCCAGGCCCTTCCCAAACCACAGCCACCTTCCTACCCTTCCCTCAGCTCCCAGCCCCCAGTGCAGGGTGCATTTCTGCATCTCTGGAACAAGGCGATGGATGGCGCTCAGCCCTTCCCTTCCTCTCCCACTCTGGTTCCTCACCACTGTCTCTGGCGAGATGTTGTTTGTCGCTTTTTGACTGTCCGTCTGTCTCTTCTGAATGTCCTTGTTTCTTTGTTTTCAAGCCAACTGACTAATGAGATCCCAGCGTAAGTAGAATCCCACCCCCTACATTACCACCCAGCCACTTCCACCACCTGACAGACTCCTCTGCATACCCGGGCATCACTCCCTCACCTCCGCTCCCTGCCACAGTACCCAAGGCTGGAGAGCAGGCAATGCCCCGTGTCTGGGGTGTTCATAGAACCAGGGAAGAGCAGGGCTTTGCAATGGGGCCATTTCCATTTCACAGTCAGGGTCATGGGGCAGAGGTGGTTGCTGGAGTTCATGTAGGGGCTTTGGTCTCAGGGTCCAGGAGGGGCATCTTGGCCCCAAAGGAAGCATGGGGAGTTTGGGCACTGACCGTAGTAGGGCCTGGCTCCTATCTCAGCAACACATACAAGTTAGTATCATCCGTTCAGGTGTGGTTAGGGGAACAGGCAGGCAAGGGCTCAGGAGGGGTAGGGAAGAAAGGGACTGGGAGATCCCTGGCAAGTCCCTATTTGGCAGCAATGAAGGGGTTAATCAGTGAGCAGCGAGAAGGCTGGGGGGACCCAAATCTGCTCCGCTTTGCGCCACAGGAAGCTGGGTCGAATCCTGGGAGTTAGCGGGGAATAAAGCAGGGAGGTAGGAGCGCGGAGCTGGGCCTGAGACCCCTCCGCCAGGAACCATGCCAGGCAGAGCAAGGTCTGGCAGAGGGAAAAGAGTCCTCTCCAGAGCAAGCTTGGCACATGCCTGCCTTGGTGGGATGCAGCGTGGGGAGCAGCACAATTGATATCACCATAGTCTGTGCTCTGTGTGTGTGTGTGTGTGTGTGTGTGTGTGTGATGTGACCAGCCCAGTGCCTCCCATCCCATCCCATCCCATCCCATCCCATCCCCTCAGAGCCACAAGCCAGAGCAAGGGTCCGGAAGCTGCGAGCCTGCATGCACGCATGTCTGCCCCAAGGAAGGCAGCAAACAAAGCAGCCTGACTGACGCTGCATGCTGGAAGCAGCATGGGAGGGCCTGGCTTACCCAGGCCTTTGGGGGCACCCCCAGCACCCTGTTAGTAACACGGGGTGAGCTCTGCATAGCTCGCTCGCTGACTCTGCCGTGCAGCTGAATGCAGAGTGAGCCCCTCTAAGCTGGCATGAGCCAAACACACTCCCAGGTGAGTGGAAAGCTGCTGCCCACTGCATCCTGCCTCCTGTTGGTTCCCAGCCTGCCTGGGGAGCTGCTCCACAGCTGTGCCAGGCAGTGCCCACTCAAGCTGTGCATGCCCTGACCTGTAGCTGAGTTTATCCCTTCTCCAGCTGGGACTTGGCAGGTGGCACAGCAGCAGGCTTGCCCTGGCAAAGCTGCTCCTGAGAGCTGGCAGCTAGAAACCAGCTTCTGCAGCCTCCGTGCACAAAGATCCGGGATGCACATCCCGGGTAATGCACCCGTTGACTACTCGACTCCGTTTCTGGTACCTGCTGACCATGGCACACCTGAACAGAGCTGCTCATCATATTGCAGGATCCATAGTCCCAGAGACTGGCATCCTGCCTCAGTCCATGGCCCCTCTGCCCACATGGAGCCCAGTTCTCCGGTGGCAGGCACCTGCCCATGATGAAGTAGGCTGGGATCCACCAATCTAGTTCATGTTGGCTGCTGAAGACCCTTCTGGATGGGGAGTGGGGCTGAAGGCCAGGAGCTGTGAATATCCTATTGCCCTCCTGGCAGCGTGTAGGTGGCAGTGCAAGTCCCAGCAGGCAAAAAAGGGAGCTGGGTCATTAGTAGAGGTGCTTGTAGTCCCTCTGTCCCCATGATGGATCCCATCCTGGTGGACCCACGTTCCAGTTCAGAGCGAGAATCCAGGTAAGAGTGCACTAAGCAGCACCCTGCGAATTTACCCCTAAGCAGCACAATGCAAATTGACCCTCGTTAGTGCCAGTCTCCTGGGACACCTGAGTTCCCACTTCCCTCCAGGGCAGCTGCCCGTTGCCCGTGCTGTGCTCAGTGCCCCTCAGGTCCGTGTGGGCAGGGTCCTTGTATTCCTCTCGCGCTTATCGCATGCCTCCCCTTTCTTCCTGCTTCTAAGTCCCGAAGTGCTGGACTATCCCGCAGACCACAGGTGAGTCTCCGCCCGGCTTCTGCTCGTGTGCTCCCACGTGGCTGCCTCTCTGCTCGCGGGACGTGTGTCTTTGTGCTTGGCTTTTTATTTGGAAGGGACGATGTGAGGTTGAGCAAGCCCTGGCCTTTTAACAGTGACCTGCTCCGCACCCACGCACTGAGCGCACACCGGATACAGCAAGTGCCCATGGGCGAGCGGGGTGGCGGTGGCGATGTGGGGGCGGGGGAGTGCCTTCTGGCACTAGAAATGCAGCGTCCCTCAAAAATAAAATGCTTCCTGTGCTGCTGTCTGTTGTGTCTGGTCGTCTGTGTGCACATGTGTCAGTGGTGTGGGCAGGGTCTTGCCTCTGGTGGTCTCCTGGGAGAATGGATAAGGACTCCCTGCCTTCCTGGCGGCTTCTGCTTTAGCCCCAAGAGGAGTTGGGTTTGGGGGACAGCGTCCTTCTGCCTTATCCTGAGAGCGGCTGAGATGCCGGGTCAGGGGGGCAAGGAGGTTCCTTTGGGTGTCCCCCCTGATGCTCTGCTTTCCAGGAGGAGGTGGCCTCTGCTGCCTTGCTAGAGCCAAGCCAAGCGGGAGTGTTCAGCCCGGGGTCTCCGTTCCCAGGCGGGGTTAGGCTGTGGGGCCAGGGTGTGGGGAAGCTCCGTGTCTTCATCCTTCACCCCGTGGCACCCTGTGAGAGGTGTGGGAAGGCAGCCTAGCCGCAGGGGGTTGCGCTCCATGCTCCAGCTCTCTGCAAGCTGGAGCTGCTCCTTGCTCAGATCCTGGCGCAGATGAGCCATGCAGGGAAGGAGCCTGGCACTTCGGGGGAGACCAGGCAGAGGGCAAACCCACAGACTCCTCCTAGCCTGGCCTGCAGAGCTCCCTTTGTACCGAACCACCCCCATCTCAAAGCCTGCTTTACTTGCAGCACCGTCCTTTTGCAGAATGGGGCCCTGTCCCCAGCCCCCTCCCCACTGTCCTCTGGGGCCTGTGGACCATTGGGCCACAATGACTGTGAACCCTGTTCTGCCCTGTGGCTTGGCTCAGCCCATGCCTCAGCTCCACAGCCCTGGGGAGGCAGGAGGGGATATGGCTGGGTCCCCAACCTGCATTTAAGGGTTTAAGCCCACCAGCCCTGCTGCTCTGAGGGTCTGCCTGCCCCGCTTTCCGCTCAGGAGGCAGCTTCCTGCCACCACTACACCCCTTCTAACTCTGGCCTATGTTCTCCCACCCCGACGCAGCGAGAAGGCCTTGCAATCCAACCACTTCGAACTGAGCATCAAGACGGAGGCCACCCAAGGCTTGATCCTGTGGAGCGGGAAGGGACTGGAGCGCTCGGACTACATCGCCTTGGCCATCGTGAACGGCCACGTGCAAATGACCTACGACCTCGGCTCCAAGCCGGTCATCCTGCGTTCCACCGTCCCGGTCAACACGAACCAGTGGGTTCATATCAAAGCTTACAGGTGAGGCAGCTTGAGGGGGGACCAGGCTGAACAGCCTCGCAGACATCTCACTCGGTGCTTTCGAGATGCAGGCTAGGGTCAAGTCTAGGGCGTCTGAGTCACGGCCTTGGATCTGTGCCCCCTCCCCACCCACCCCCCTGGTTTCTGAGGGTCACTGAGCCCTGCAGATAATAATAGAGGAGTGGCATTTGGGCAATGCAGCGTTGGAGAGTGTGTGCCTTGACTTGCCTGCCCCCGGTGCCAGGATATGTCGAAGGGGCAGGCCCCAGGAGGTGCTGACAGTCTGTGCCCTTTCTTTGGGCTGCCCAAGAGCTTGACATTCTGTTTGCGCTGGGCCCGCGCCGTCCCCCGCCTGGGTGGTTTTTATTTATCTTGGTGGAGCGGGGAGTGGTGAGCTCCTCGCGTGGCTGGGATGCCAGTGGTTTCTGCTGATGAGTCCAGAGGGAGCAGGAGGAAGCAGTGGCCGCTGGCATGGATCCCTGCGGCGTGTCAACGCCCAGAAGAGAGGCCAGGAGCAAGGTGCTTTAAGGTGGAGCAGGGCAGTGGGGGGCTGATGCACATCGGTGGACCCCCTGGGCAGCTTCTGCAGTCACCGTAAAGCAGAGCTCTGCTCCAGGCGCATCCCAGGACTCTTTGCTGGGTGCATTAATCTGCTCTGTTCTCCCTTCCTCTCTTTCTGCTGAGAACAGAGTGCAGAGAGAGGGCTCCTTGCAGGTGGGCAACGAAGCCCCCATCACTGGTTCATCCCCACTTGGAGCAACACAGCTAGACACGGATGGGGCCCTCTGGCTGGGTAAGTGGGACCTGGGAAGGAAAAAGGAACAACATGTCTCAAGGATTTACATTCCCCCAAGGGATTGAGATACACAATTCTCACCTCTTTGCAAAGATATCTCATGATAGAAATAAATCTCATAAGGTTCAATAAGGAGAAGTATAAAGCCCTGTGGTTAGGATGGAACAAATGTCATGCACCAGTACAGGCTGGGGACCGACTAGCTAAGCAGCAGCTCTGCAGAAAAGGACTCGGGGGCTTCAGAGGATGATAAGCTACATATAAGCCAAGTGTGTCCTTGTTGCAAAGAAGGCTAACGGCATCCTGGGCTGCATTAGTAGGAGCGTTGCCAGCAGATCAAGGGAAGTAATTATTCCCCTCTATTCAGCACTAGTTAGGCCACATCTGGAGTACTGTGTCCAGTTTTGAGCCCCCCAGTACTGAAAGGATGTGGACACATTGGAGAGAGTCCAACAGAGAGCAACAAAAATGGTTTGGGGGCTGGGGCACATGACTGATGAGGAGAGGCTGAGGGAGCTGGGCTTATTTAGTCTGGAGAAGAGAAGACTGAGGGGGGATTTAATAGCAGCCTTCAACTCCCTGAAGTGGGGTCCAAAGAGGATGGAGCTGGGCTGTTCTCAGTGGTGGCAGATGACAGAGCAAGGAGCAATGGGCTCAAGTTGCTGCAAGGTTAGATATTAGGAAAAACTCTCAGTAGGAGAGTAGTAAAGCACTGGAACAGGCTACCTAGAGAGACTGTGGGATCTCCATCCTTGGAGGTTTTTAAGACCCGGCTAGACAAAGTCTTGGATGATGTATTTGGGGGTGGTCCTGCTTGGAGCAGGGGGTTGGATCAGATGACCTCCTGCGGTCTCTTCCAACCCTCATTTTCTCTAGCGTGCACCAAGGGGCTCTTGGCTGCAAGCAGTGAAGGACAGTCCCAGGGAGCGCGCTGCCAGCCACGCACTGCTGTGAAGCACTCGACAAAGGGGCTTGGTTTCCTTTCACAGCCGGCCCGTGCTTGTGCAGCAGTCAAAGCCGTACGTAGGGAGGCACCGTGGTTTTGTGGGTAACACATGCCTCAGAAAGAAGAGCTCTGCCCTCAGCTTGACCACAACCTCCCAGGCAGCCCTGGCCAGGACCTCACCATGTCGGTGACCCTGTCTGGGGAACAAAGACCCATGTGCCTCGTTCACGATCCAGGGCACCCGGGTGGTAGGGACCGCAGGAGGAGGTTGGCATCCCAGATGCCAGAAGCAGCCATGCCTGGAGCTCGGCAGTCCTTGTCACAGTGGCTTTTTCTGCAACTACCCAGACAGAGAATCAGACCCAGGTTTCAAATACTGCCCCGTGAACTATTTCCCTCTTACCCGAGTCCATGTTAGGATTCATGTCCTTATTGTTCCAGCTGTGGGACATAAATGTGAGGGTTTTCTGGACTGAGAAAAAAGGTAGGACTCTGGGCACTTCTCACCCCTTTCCCAGAGGAGCATTTGAGCTCACAGTCCTCTAGGCATAGAGCCGTGTCTCATCTCATTAGCATCAACGGGGTTATCGTGGGCGTGGAGATATGCAGGTGTGTTAGCCTGGGCCTTCACCTCCAAAAAGGGCTTAGTTTAATCAGACTCTTTCATCAAGCACCCAGGACACAGAAACCCCAAAACGTGAGGACGCCGACACTTGGAAACTGTCTTGTTTCCTCTTGTGCAGCCATCACATAACGCCATCCCGGCAACCAGCCCGCCTAAGGAGAGTCACAGCCCTCCGCAGTCTAACCCGGCACCGACAGGGCGAGATGGGGGGCAGAATTAGCATGAGGCTGGAAACCCCGCGTCTCCGAAACAGGGCCGCTGCCCATCTAGACAGACCAGAGCCCCATCCTTTGCTCCCCGCTCTGACCTGTCCCGTCTCTTGCAGGGGGAATGGAGAAGCTCAGCGTGGCTCACAAGCTGCCCAAAGCCTACAGCACCGGCTTCACCGGCTGCATACGGGACGTGATAGTCGACCGCCAAGAACTGCACCTGGTGGAGGACGCTTTAAACAAACCCACGATATTACACTGCTCGGCCAAATAGACCCCAGGGACCCTTCGTACCCCCTCCCCCCTCCTGCCTATTGCTGTAATTATTTTCTATTTTTGTAAACTTATTGCTTTTTATATTTTTTGGGGGGGGAGGTGGGGACCGAGGGGGGAAGAAACATTTTTCCCCCTCCTTTTTTTTCCGGTTATTTGTTTGGTTGCAGTGTATCCAGGCTGGTCGGACTGTGAGCAGCAGCAACAAAGAACAAGCCCTGAATCAAGTCTCTGAGAAGTGAGAAAGGAACACACACCCTGTAGCATCCCGCCTTGGAAATTTCCATTCATGATTTCTCAGTCATACTTGAAGCTTTTTTTTTTGCTTTTTTTTTCTTATTTTATTGCTCTGGTGGTTGCCCCCCCTGCCCTTGAGGGGGAAAGGAAAGGATCCTGGTGCTGCTAAGACCCGTGGCCTTTGTGGAGACACAGCTTTCCCCTTCCACGCCACTGCATCCCTCAGCCCTGGCTCGACGGAGAAGCTGTCTCCTAAGCCGGGGGATTGAGTTGGTTTTCAGGCCTCTTCCCCGCTCCATGTTCACCCCATTTTTTTCTCCGTAATTGTGCATAGGGATTGCACGTGCATCTTTCCTCCGGTCGGGGCTGTCTCTGGCTAGAGGTGAGACCCAAACCAGCTCCCAGTGGGCTGGGGAGCCAGGGTTTTGTCTCACCTCGCATCTCCTTGTCGACTCGCCAGTGCGAAGATGATTTTTTTTTGTTTGTTATTAATTTGGCCGAGAAAGAGGTGGCATCATCTTTATTTTTCGTGCTAAGCCCTCTCCTCCTCCTGGATACATGCAGAAGCAGCTGCAAAACCTATTTCCAGGCTTTATTTTTAGCCGGACGTGTCCCAGATCTGCCCACTTGGCTTTGCTGCTGTTTCCAAGAGCCTTGGTTGTTTACCAAAACTCATCCTCCCCTCAAGCCAGTGCAAAGGCCGTTGGATGTTTTGGGGTTCGGAGCCCCCAGCACCCTCCCCATCTCCCGGGAAGGTCAGCCAGACCTGAAGGCACAGGACCGGGATTGGTTTTCATTTGGATCCATTGGAAGCACACTTCTGTGCCTATCCCACCCCTTTTGCAGCCCCCTGAAATGACCTGCCCTCCATATACAGAGATGAGATCTTGGACCAGCTGTCCTAAGGATTTCTGCTTCTGTGGTAGCACCATGAAAGCCATTGACTACATGGTTTTGGCAATGGCCAGCACAATGGCAGGCCCCGATTCTGCTCAGAGCCTCCCCGGCACTACAGGAATACAAACAGGAGCATCACTGGGGACAGGGCTGGAGCCTTGCAGTTCAGCCCAGAGACAAAGACGGAGGCAGGGTGGTTTGTGAGCTTTTCTTAAATGCTATTTTGTTCCCACCCCCATTGCAAATCATTCCTTGTAAAAGCAAACTATGATGCAAATACTGTAACGCCACCTACAAACCCAGTGCGTGTGTGCGTGTGTGCAAGAGAGAGCCCATTAAATATATCCGTATATATGTTTGTATGCGAATGCTGATTCTCTTCTTAAGGAAACAACGCCCCTGATGCTAGAGTCCCTGCAAAGGATTGTCCATTTCCTTATCCATAGGAGGAACCAGCCAGTGCTTTCTAGTATCTTATATTCCCCTTTCCACCCAGAGCAAGGCAGTTGGCATGGCTTCATCGCATGAAAAGCCCACGTTCTGCAGCTTGTGGCATTAAGGTGACAGATCCTCCCTTTTACAAATTGATGTTAGGAACCGACTGCACCAAGTGGGACTGTTTCACAGCCAGTTTTTTGGCCTTGCTGCTGCCCTCCCTTACTCCCACCAAAAGCTGTGAACTAAGTTGTGAGCCACAAAACCAAAATCACCTTCCTCAGGGCATGATCTGAAGGCAGGTGGGATGGAGGGGAGCAGCACGCCGGTAAAACCACTGTTCTCTTTGAAGGTGCGCGCGTTGTCCTACTGCCACCAAACCCCGTGTCATCACAGATGCCTTGGACTAGTGTGTGTCAAAACCTTCCAGAGATGCCTTCTTCTGCATGGGGGTATCCGTTTGCTGGGGATAGAGAAGGGGCAGGGGGTGGGGGGAGGAGGGGGCTTTTTGATATCCCTTGTCAGTGTCTTCTGTTTCCATCTCTTTACTTTCCTAGATCCAGCTTAAAGAAATCAGACTTCCATCCCAGCTCAAAAGCCCTTCCTTCATGTCTTCTATGGAAATCCATGCCTGAGCAGTTGCTGTCCAGGGTGGTTAGTGACTTAGTTGGGTTCATGCCCCCTGGGAGACAACGTGGAGACTCCAGTATGGTGTGTGTGTGTGTGTGTGTGCGCGTGCGTGTGTGTGTGGCGATACCACATTTTAAGTGGCTACTGTAAATATATTGTGGTTCCTGATGGAGAGTAATGTGCTTGTGTTGTAAAGCAGACTGACTACTGTACTTTATTCCCACGGTGTAGGTAGCCAGCGGCTAACTAGGACTGCGGGGGTTCAGGGTGGGAAGGAAGACAACCAAACCCCTCTCTCCGCCTGTAGTTTGAAACTTAGGCTCTAGCTGGACAGTGCAGCCTCAACAGTGGATCCCGAGGGCTGAAGATCCCCATGCGGGGGAGGCAGAAACATGCACAGAGAAAGCTGCTACATTTCCCAGAATGCCACTAAAATGAAGCCAAGGTTACTGCAAAAAAAATAATAATAAAAAAAAAACAAAACAAAACAAAACACTGTCTGCTTTTGCTGGGGCTTGGAGATGCCTTAAAACAAAACATTGTGTCCTTGTCGTCAAGCATCTTGAACCAACGGCGCATTTGGGAGCGCTCCCAAGGGGCCATGCACTTAACTGGGGCTTTATTTTTAACAGCATTTATAACTCATATGTACAAAGCGACATGGATGTTTGGGGTTGGGTTTGGGGTTTTGGGGGGGGTTCCTGTTTTTTTTTAACTTTTTTTTTTTTTTGGCTATTTTTTAAATTTGTCTGTCCACGTGGCTTCATTTTTTTTAGGGTAACGTAATGATCATTGTGACCTGCTGTATGACTTCTGAAGGGCAATGCACAGTAGAGGAGCAGCATGATATAACCATTACTAACTTGTGTCTTTCGTCAATCACCATGAAATAAAGTTTGGAAACAATTAAACGTGTTTAAAAGGGACCTGCTGCTGTTTCTCTCCGGGGCACAGGGCTGCCTTCTGCCTCCACGCACCAGACCCGCCAGTGTAACACCACGGGGAGGGGGGGCTGCCCAAAATCCAAACCATTTCTTAGCTGCTGTTTCTCTCCCAGCCAAAATGATCAATCAGTCCAGCCGTGCTCTCTGTATCCTGTTATCCCTTCCCAATTTACCCTGCTCAGGAAACTCGCTCTGTATCCAGCCCCACCTGCACCCAAAAGCCAAAGACTCAAACACTTACACTGCCCTGGGGACAGATGATCTCACGCTGAATTTTTCCACCTGCTCAATCACACTAATATTTTCCCTGCTTTCCACACCCCTTTCTATTGGCTGCCCTCAAACATCGTAGAGTCTCTTGCCTAATCTGGTTTGGGTCTCTCCACTGTGACTCCTAAAATGCATCGCATCTTGAATGTGCTGGAAATGGTTCCCATGGAAAGGCATCCTATAGCCATGCAGCGGGCTCCCCTTGACATTCATCTCCCTGGGTTCAGGACCAAGATGCAGCCACGTGATGATGCTGGAAAAACGTATTGCCCTTTGCTTGTGGGTCTCAGCATGGTGACCCGCAACTCATATAGACTGGATGGTCCAATTAAGGCATAACTCCCCTAGCAACATCTTTCTCTGTCCTGCCCTTGAAACCTGTAAGACCACCCTTAATTGCAAGCAAGTCTTTATTTCTCATTCACTGGGCAGCTCATGAACGCCGAGTGTGTTTCAGCCTTTGTGCCACGGGTCTGCGATGATGTTCCACCATGCTGGAAAGCCCTGGATGCTGCAACGTAATTACTGGTAGCACAGGACGATTGCACAAAGGTAGCAGCTGTTAGCACCTTGGCTTTCATCCTCGGCGAGGCAAAGAGCCCTAGTGTGATGGGATAATTGCAAATGCCATGTGGCTAGCGGTTACTCTGCACGTCACATCATACCACGGTCAGTATGTGGGTGCCCTGTCTGCCAAGGATACCTGCTGCACCTCTTTGGAGCCATTTTAAGCCTGTTCTCAGATCTATCTCACTACGTAAAAAGGCAGCAAGCCAAGATTTGAGTTCAAACAGAAGCTGATGATCTGTAGAACGAGGTGGAGTGAAAAAGCAAATCCATGTACCGGCAGGACATGGAAGCCACTTGGTTTTGAAAGCTAAGGGCATTGACACCTGATGATGATGGACATTTGATTGGGGTCTAACGCATCCACATCAACTTGAGAGGAAGTAAGATATTTAATGGACAGCCGGATGCCTACCAATTCTAAGGGCAAACAATGGGGCTAGTGTTTTTTAAGCAACAGGTTACACAATTCACTGCTGGGGCACGTTTTGTTGCAAATCAGCCTCCTGGTGCAGGATTATGCAGCAACAGGCAGAAGCTCACAAAGCCGGTCCCTCTTTCCTGGGCGTTTCAACCAGCTGCTGCAAAGCTCCAGGAGAAAAACCATCACCTTCTCGCCCAGAAAGCAAAGCAGGGCCCTACGCACTGGCTTTATTCTGTGGGCTGGCAAGGTGCCCATAATGTCTTTTTTCCCTTTTTCTCCATCTGCCTGGAGGTGCCTATGGCAGGCTGCAGTTGCAGAGAGGAGTGGATGCTAAGTCAGGAACCACTCCACTAACGGGAAGGCAAGCAAATCGCACTCCTTCCCGACTGCCCCGGAAACAAACCCGCCAGTGTTGTCCCCTGTGCCAGCTTGGGTGAGGGGCATGTCTATTTTGAATGAGGCCTTCCCATCTTTGCATTTACCGTGGAGCTTGCCCTGGTTTCAGTTGTCCTTGTCTCTAGAGGTATCAGCTTTCCACCTGATCTCTCTTCCATTGCAGCATATTTAAATGTGTGGCTGAAAAGCTCTCACTCCTGCTGCTGCCCAACCCTATCCACATTTGCATTCCTGAAATCCTTGGCCTGAAAAGAAAGGAGCAGCCTGTAGGTGAAAGGTCCCTGGAGGAGGGCGTCAGGTCAGATAGGCACAGGCATCTCTGAGGTGGGAGGTGAGGAGTATTTCTGATCTTTCTGTACACCCTTCCACCATTGCTCAATTCATGGGAGCTCAGCTAGGAAGAGGGAAGTCATCCCCACTCTGCTGTTCTCCATGTTATTGAATGGAAGAGGTTGGTGGCTAGATTAGAGGGAGGGATGATCTGTGAGGAGATATGGAAATTGGATTTATGAAGCATTTCTCCTTCCCATGCATCCTCAGGTATTGGCTGTCACTGGACTGCGAGAATTAGACTCAATGGCCCAATACTCACAGGCAGCAAGGCAAAGATGTACTACTTGACTTACTTTTATGCTCTCTCCAGTGAGCTGAGCACGCAGCCAGGAATCAAGAGACGGAGACTTTATTCCCTTCTCCGTCAGTGACTCGCTGTGGCCTCAAACCGGCCACTTCACCCCCCTGCACTGCCAAACCTGCCTAGCAAGCCAGGCATAATGATCGGTGCCTGTTCCTCCAACAGGCCAGGATGTCCTTGGAGGAGGCTGTGCTTTAAGAGCTGAGTGCTGCTGCTCGAGGAGCAATCATCCCATTCTCAAATGATGGCTCCTCTCACACTGCTCCCATAGTTATGGGTTGGTGGAAGCCCCTGGTTTCAGGATTAATGACATCCTTGTAAAATTCTGCTGCTGCTGAAAATTTGGCAATTTTATTCCGGCCCAGAAACAACTGCGTTGCTCCAGGAGGGGGATGTGTGTGAGAGAGAGACAGAAATGAGGGAGAACGTGGTAAAGCAATGAAAGCAATTTTTTAAAAATAATTTCCTTGAGGCTCTTCTGGATGAAAGGCCTTACCCTCACTGTCATCTTTATATTGATGATCCCTGCCTAGGATCTTAGGGTCGTACAAGCCATCTCTGTGCAGGAGATCATTGCAGCCATGTAGAGGCTTTCCACATTCTCTAGCAGCCTAAGAAAGCTTATGCTTTTCTGAACGACTTGATTTCTAGGGACCGCCTTACCCTGCTTTTTGTCTAACTGTGTAGATCACCAGTCATAGGCCAATGTTGCTGGCAGGGACAATGATGCTCCTTTTGGTGAAAGTTGGGTTTTATCCTGCTGCATTTCACCTTTCCAGAACAAGGGGTCATGACCCTAAATGACGTTGTGACCCTTATTTGCTGAGTTACAGTGGTTGAGCACAGCCTGGATGTGGGGTTGCCAGGAGCTCTCCCCTCCCTCCTCTGTCTAACAGCAGCCTGCGCCTTGCTCACTGTTCTCCCATCTCAGAAGATGCTCTAGATATAGAGGAGAGGATGCTGCCCAGGTAAGGATCAAAAGAGCAACGTTGAGCCCTTGGCTTATTTCTCCTTGGATTCTTCACCTTGGAAACGGGTTCTCTACATGTATGATTGGTGTTGGCTTCCATTCACGTGGTTAAACCCAGCCCACGCTGCACGTGCCGCTCCGACTGCCAGCACATCAGCAGGTCCCAAACAGCTCACCTGCCCCTACATGAATGCCTTGGACCAGGTCTGCATTGTAGCTAAACTTACTGCACCAAAATGCCTTTGGGCTTGGGCTTGAATGCCAGATGCCACAGCTTCTGATGAAGGAGCTGAACCCCTGCTCCGACCCATTTCTGCCTTCCAGTTATGCCAGGCATGTGCCAGCACAGCTGCTCCCCCTTTCTGGGGCTACAGGATGTTCCTCTCTGGCATGCATCAGAGCAGTTGCCTCAAGAGCTGCCCGGGCTGGGACCTGTACGGGGGAATCCCTGGAGCGGAGATAGTAACAGCAGCAGGTGGACTGTGATCAAGATGGCCAGTCCTACCCTCCCACCCATTGGAATTGAATAGGGGTGAGATCAGCGGGGGCTGACAGAAATTTAGCCTGGCGGTTTTGATCATGGAAAACTTCCATGGTTGCAGGCCCCAATCAGGTCCGGATCCCCTGCAAGCCAGGCACAGCATAAACATCAACAAAGGGGAAGGCGCCTACTGCAAATACCTTACCATCAAAGGGCCTGATTCACCAAGGCGTTGAATTACATTGGCATAAAATAGTAGAGACAGGAGCACATCAGGGTCTCTACCATCTAAGTGGCCAAGTTCCCTTTTGGAGTCAAAGGGTGCAGCTCGGATGACTTTGGGGTTGTTTACACCAGCCACTGGGCCCACGGTTCTCTAGGACAGTGGTTCATGAGATCCTTTCAAGGGTGTTGCTGGGTGCCTGTAATATTAGTACTCGTAGGTGTGCAAACACATATCCCATGGTGCACAAGATAAGTCCAATGGTTCCAAATAGGAATCCACAACGTCAAAAATGCTTTGACCTGTTGTAGTCCAAGTTGCACACAACAGAAGAACTGGTCTATTGATTTTCCATAGTCGAGGAATGAGTAAAAGCTACAAGCTGGCATTTTCTGAGCGGAGTCTTGAGTCAAAAAAAGGTTGAGAATCACTGCTCTACGACTCGCTCTAAAAAAGCAAGAGAATGAGCACTGTCCCCTACAGTTTTCCTTTTTGTAATCATCCCATGGACTTTTGTAGACTAGGGGTCTTCTTTCAAACCCGGTTATGGCCATTCAGGAAGCCCATAGAAAGGTTCTTGTTCTCTCTTCGGCCCTACCAGACTTGTATCAGCCATGGAAAAGTCATAGTCATGTTGCTCACAATGAAGTCTCAGTGCTTGGATACAAGGAGGCCCCAGTTACAAGGAGACACAGCAACGGGCCTTGTTGTTGTTGTTGCTGTTGCTACCGTGTCTGGTGTGTCTCTCTCCTTTGGGGTTCTTGTTGCGCATCATCAAATCCAGGGCCACAGTAGGCTGGAAAGCTATGCAATGCTCTGATCCTCCTTCCTGAAAAATGAGCTTCCTCCTGCAGCCAATGCTCTGGGTATTCCCCGAATAGACGTGGAATTCAGTGTGTCTTATTATAGTCATAAAACTGCTATTTGTGCTGCTGTGGGCGGGCCCCGGGCTGGGGGAAGGGGAGTTGGTCCATCATGTTCTGGCTGCTTCTGCCTTAGACAGCTGGCTTTGTTTTC